AGGTCCCTGTTCACGCCACCGAGCCCCTGCCCCACCCTGCCTCGGAGCGCCGGGTCCCTGGGGCCCTGTGGAAACTGGAGAAGATCCTCCAGAAAATGTGTGCAAGCTGCCCGGTGCCCTGGGAGCCCTGTCCGCTCAACTGTGGGGGCGCGTTGGCAGGTGGGTGGGGCAGGTGACCCTCAAGAGGTTGGGAAAAGGCCATCGCCCTGGAAGATGTCCTCCGATTCCCGGGGAGTTAATGTGGATGGAGGCGAACGGGTGCTCTCTGGGGGCTGGCACCAGGTACACATGCGTTTGGTAAACAAGATTAATTGGGTTGTTTCTGGGAAAACGGATGACTGTAAAAGCCCCCCGAGGCCCAGCTGTGGGAGCTACACTTTTAGGAGAAGTGAGACCCCTGGGCCTCCTTCCTGTACTCCTTCCAGGGCGAGGAAGGGCTGAGTGCTGCCCAGCTCCTGCCCAGCTCCAGGGACACCCACAAGGCGAAGGGCCTGCCTGGCGGTCACTTGAGCGATGCCCCTTAGGAAGACCCTTCCCTGTCCCCACGGCCCACCCGGGCCCAGCCTTCCCCTGACCGGCCCATGCTGGGTTCCGTGCAGGCAGCGGCCGCACACCCACCAGGACCCGCTCGGCTGAAGGAGGGAGCCAGCTCCCTCTCCCGGCCCCGGCCACAGGGGCGGCTCTCCCAGGGACCCCGTCCTCACACCCTCTGCCCACCAGCTTCTGGGGCAGGCGTCCAGCACAGCGGAGACCAAGCCTACTTCCCCGCCTCCACCAGGGGAGGCCAAACCCCCAGGTCCAGGGCTGGGGGACGCTGAGTTCGAGAACCCGTAGGGGGCCCACGAAGGGCAGAATGACAAACAACACAGGGCGGTGGTCCCTCCCGAGTCCTGGGCGGCCATCTCCAATCCCTTGGAACCTTCCCTCTGCCCAGAAACGCCCCCACCCGCACCCGGCTCCTCTCCGCTCCCCTCGCACCCTCAGGAACCGCTCAGATGCTCCAGCTGCACGTGGAATTCACGACGAGCGACGACGACAAGACCACTGGGCAGGGGAGGTGCGCAACCCCACTGTGACCTTCCTCACTCCCTCTCCCGGGACCCCCACATGAGCTGGACGAGGCACTCAGAGGCCTTCCGTGTCAGCCCCCTTCACAGACGAGGAGACCGCGTCTTGGCCAGGTCCAGCAGCTTCCCAAGCCCCACACGGCCGGTGAGAGTCTGTCCAACGCCAAACCCTGGGTCCTCTCCCGCCCACAGGAGCCCCAGCACTGCTCCCGAGGGACTGGCCGTCGCTCCCGGCTCTCCTCCTCCTCCGCTGCCCAAGGCCCAAAGGTGATAAGCACCCAACTACACAGCGGTCCCCCTCCCCTGATAAGACTCGCTCCTCCAACCCAGGTGGTGGTCAAGGCCTGCGACCCTGCGCAGGGGCGGTGGGGACACGGGAGGGAGACAGACAGTCCCTGCCGCACGAGATAAGCAGGACACTGGGGCCAGTCACGGTGGGGCGACTAGACCCACCCCTGGGCCTGGGGGCCGCCTGGGTGGCAGACGCCTTGACAGTGGAGAAGGAGACGACATTCCCATGGGCGTGGTGCTGGAACAGACGCCGGCTAACGGCCTCTCCCAGCTCGGCCGAACGCAGGGCGGGAGGCCACCTGGGCTCACCGGGTCAGAGCACCCCCGACTTCGGGCTTTCATGGAAGTGGGCTTGGGTGGGCACTGCTCCTGAAGGCCTCCTGCCGAGGAGGGCAGAGCAGTACCCAAGGCCCTCGGGGGGCCCGCCTTCACTCCTTCCCTCCAGGCCCAGAGTCTCCGCTCCTGCGGGCCTCCCCTCCACCCCCGAGGCGGGACGGCCTCAAGCCCTGGTCCTCAACATCTGGGTACCCCACTGGACAGCCCAGGAGCCCAAAGCCCAGGGGTGAAGGCACCTGGCCATACACTCATTCTGGACCAGAGGGGAGAGCCCTGCTGCTGCCTGGAGCACCCCAGACAGCTGGAGACAGAACCGGGGTGGCTACCGGGAGGGGTACTCAAGGGCACACGTGGAGGGGCGTCCGAGACGTGCCCGCTGCTGTGGCTGGGGGCCTCCTCCCCACCTTGTGGGTCCTCCTCCATCTCCAGGACAGGATGACAAGGCTGGAGGACCCGGGACCCTGGCAGGAGGCTCAGACCCCGGCCTCCCCTCACAACCCCCCACCCCCACCTCAAGCTTCCTCTCAGCTCTAAAGGGCCCAGTGCAAGGCCAGGGCTGCGGGACAGGGGCACCACACAGCTGGCTCCGGGAGAGAAAGGAGAGAGGGCCCCAGGCAGACCCCCTCCGCACCCCGGTAGCCGCCTTGGGCATCCTCCGGCACACAGCCGCCGGGCGCCCTCCCTCCGAAGCCCAGTCTCAGGAGGACCAGGCCGACACTGCCCTGGAAACACCCACAGCCTGACACCGAGCAGCAGGATCGGGACCGCGACGGGAGCTCCGCCATGCTTCCCAAATACAGGGACGCGTGGAGCGAGGACGAAACTGCAAAGGAAAACACGGGAACACACAGCCCAGAGCAAACACTCGAAGGGTGTGGACCGGAGGGACCGGCTGCGGCGGCAACAACAGGCACCTGGGGGTGCAGGGGAGACGGCCTCTCTCCTCGCACTCGGCCAGCCTCGCAGACTGTCCGTGGCGGCGGGAGTCGCTGTCCCAGTCTGAACAAAGACATTTTCAAAAGAGAGTTCTCTCCCCCTTTCTGGCCCCAGGGTGTTTCCAATTCCCCAAACACGTCTTCCAGCGGGCGTTTCTGGGGTCCCCTTCCTCCACAAAACAGCCTTCCTGGGAGGCCCCCAGCACAGAGGCCCCCCCACGTGGAGCAGCACCTTGGGGAAGTTCCGAGTGAAGCCGGGGGGGCGGAGCGGGGGGGCGCAGGCCCAGCCGGTGAGACAAACGCTGCGCCCCTCACAGCCATTCCCGGACGTGGGGCCGAGGCGAGCGGAGAGCCAGCCGCGTCCCCTAAGAAAAAGCCCTCACACTGGGTCACACGTGAGCATCAGTGGCTTTTATTACTTGACCCTGCAGAGAGGTGCTGCGGAGGGGGTGACGGAGGGCTGGCCTTCCAGGTGGACCAGTCCCATCCCACATTCGCATCTGTGCTAGCTTCCCACCCAGAGCAGGAGAAGGGGCCAGGAGGCCTCCGTCTCAGTGACTCCTCCAGGCAGCCCTCCCAGATCCTCCCCTCGGAACCAGGGGAATGAAGTGCTCGGGCGGTACAGCGCTGGGACACGGGCGCACGGGGATGGGGCAGCTGGCTGGGCCCGGGGGTTTCCGCTCCCGTCTCCTGAAATGGTGCCCACTCCTGGTCTTTGAGGGCCCTCCGGCCACTCTGCCAGCGGAGGAGGCACGGGTCTTCCCAGACAAGTGATTGTGATATGTGACCATCTGCTGGGCAGGGATGATGCTGCCTCTTGGACACACAGGGACAAGCAGCACCAGAGTGTGCCTGGAGTGAACACAGTCCCAGTGCCCCTGGGACACGCCCTCCCCATCACCTTCCACCCTGCCTCCTCCTGTCCCCTGCGGTCCAGCAGCTCAACACGTTGACCCCTGGCTCTCCTCTGCACGCCAGCCTAGACCGAGCTGGCCAGCACAGACGCCTGCACAGGTCTGTGGAACAAATGAGTGAATGAATAAATGAAATACCGACCGAGAGCCCCGGCCCCTCGATGCCTCACGGACGCAGGCCTCTGTGGTGTTCAGAAGACAGGCCCTGCAGGGCAGACAGCTCCCAGCAGCCACAGGGGCAGGTTAACTGGCTCCGAGTCCCCCATCTCCCGGCTTTGGTGGACCAGCCAGAGCACGGCGGCTCTCCCAGGGCTGTGCTAGGGAAAGACCAGTGACAAGTCAGTGTGACAACAAGGACCCCTGGTGGGCCCACTGGGGGTGGCAGCAACGCTGGGGGGCAGCCTCTCCTTCCCCCTCTTATGCCCCTCCAAGCCACAGAGCATGAGAACATTCCAGGCCTTTCACTGTGCTGTCTCCCTGCCCAAAATCCTGGATTGCCGCCCCCCATCCCATCCCACTTCCAGCCACCGGGCAAACTCCTACTCATCCTTCAAAGCCCAGCTCAGTAACCGCTTGCTTGGGGATCCTCGCCTGACTCCCCTGCAAACACAGGTGCCAACTGCTCTCTCTCTGGACTCCGGCCCCTATCTATGCTGCCCGACAGCCCTTCTTCACTTCCAGAGCCCCCTGCGTGGCCCACAGACACGTACTGGATTCAGAGCCGGAAGAGGCCTGGAGGCCCCCAGGCCAGCTCCTGACTTGACAGACAACACTGAGGCCCGGGTGTCTGCGTGTCCAGGCCGAGGCCACGGCTTATGAGCGGCCACATTCCACCCCCCAGAGCACCCAGGTGCTGGACACCCCCATCAGCTTCCTGTCCTGTTCTCCTCCACCAAACCAAAGCAACAAGCAGGAGGGCAGATCCCCCAGAAATGCTCTGGGCTTTCAGTCCTGCCGGCCACCCACGCAGCCTGCTGCGGACGGGCACCCCACACAGCCGCTTCCAGAAAACCTCAGCGCCCAGAGGAAGCCGCTGGCCCCATCACCCTACAACCACCAGCACACGTGCCTGCTTCCTCAAAGGGCGCAGGCCGACCCTGTGGGAACGTCCCAGGACCCAGCCATCACGAAGGAGGACGATGGGTGGCCAGGACACCCCACTGACACCCGGGCCCCCGAGTCTGCCTTGAGCAGCTCCCGTGAGTGGCACCTCCTCCCGCACCTTCCATCTCTTCAGTGTTCCCCTCTCTGCCGTGAATCAGATCCTACCAACCAGTCTACCCACACGCACGGACGGCTCACGGAACAGCAGCCCGAACGCCTGTGCACCCACCGCTCTGCTCGTCACTAGAGGTGATGCTGTGAAGGCGATTCTGAGGGGGCGGGTGGGGGAGGACGGCAGAACAGAGAGAACGTTTCTGCAGCACAGCCGCATGAGACAGAGGAGGCCGCACCGTTTGTTGAGGGCCCCCATGACCACCCTGTCTTGCAGACACGATAACTGAGGCCGAGGCGGTAACACTGACCGGCTGGAGGCCAGGCCAGCCCCGTCCCCGGCCAGGCTCTCTGCACAACAGAAAGCGAAGCCCACGCGCCTTCATCTGGGATTCCGCTCCACCCGCAGGGGCTGAGAGCCAGCCGTGGCGCCTGCACCTCTCCTCGGGAGCCCCTGGAGGACTCGGGAGGTGGGAGGCCCACTCAAGCACCCCACACGGGTCCCCTGAGCTCCTCCCAGACGGCTGTCCCCGCTGGCCCCCCCTTGTCTCTGGGCCCCGAGGCGCTGGGAGCAGGTGGTGCTATTCAGGGTTTGTCTCTCTTCCCTGACGGCCTCGGCCAGCTTTCCCATCCCATCCGGAGGACACATACAGCCCAGCTGCTGGGACACTGACCACGTTCCTCAGTCTCGCTGGGACCACTGACATTCGGGGCCGCATAAATCTGTGTGTCTAGAGGAAAGGGGCCATCCTGGGCACTGTGGGGTGTGGAGCAGCATCCCCGGCCCCCAGCCACTCGATGTCAGGAGCACCCCCAGTGTGACAACCACAGATGTCCCCAGACATCGCCCAGTATCCCCTGGGGGGCAGGATCACCCCCATGGAGACCCACTGCTCTACTGATGGGCACTAGGCACAGAATCCTAAAATGTCAAAATAGCTTTATGCACAAACACACCCCTATTTCAGTGGCCCCAGCCCGAATCGGGCAAGGCAGGTTTTTAAAGCTGTCCAGGCCGTCCGGAGGGGCCGCCAGATGTGGGGACAGAGACCTGGGGACAGCCTGGCGCCTCACTGGGGACTGTGGAGCCTCAGACAACAGAATCCAACTTAATCGGTATGGCAGTACCACAACCACAGTAAAAAGACACAAAGCCTTTTATTGTGAAGGCTGGCGGAGGCATGGCAAGCCGGCAGATGCGGGACGCGGGGCGATTCACAGAACATTTTTCTTTTGAGTTTCTGGTATTCTCCAATGTTTTAAAATAAACGCTACTCTGAGTCCCAGAAGAAAGTGTTTTGAACAGAGGCAACGTGTGCAGGCTTCCGCCAGCTGTGACGCTGCCCCCGGAGAGCAGGGCTGCTTCTGCGCCGGGCGGAACCACAAACAGAAACCTGGGTTCTTTTCACACCGTGCGCGCGGTCGTGTAAGAGGTGAAGTCAGTGCCAGTGACATTTACAAAGAGAGGACCGCTTTGAAAATCCACCCCACCTTCCCCCCATCCCAGCCTCACAGAAACACTGAGAACAATAGAACAAAAGAACCACCCACCCGTCGTGGTGAAGGCTCCTCAAGCTTCAATCCCGAGCCGGGTGGCCCTGGCTCCTGGGGGGCGGGAGCCGCACCGGGATGCACAGCTCTCTGGGAGGGGCAGGGAGGGGATGCTAAAAAAGACAGTAGAGTGGCCCCAGCAAGCAACAGCCTAGCACCAGGGGTTTCAACCAGGGCGGTCCTGCCTCCAGGGGACACTGGGCCATGTCTGGGGACGTCTGTGGTTGTCTCACTGGGGGTGCTCCTGGCATCAAGTGGGTGGGGCCAGGGATGCTGCTCAACCCCCCACAGCGCCCAGGCCGGCCCCAATGTCCACAGTTTCCACTATTCCTCCAACCACCTTCAGAAGCTCCCACCCAGACGAAGTGGGAGGCCCCGCCTGGCCCCAGCGAAGGCCACCCTGTCCACCAACTAGCAGAAACACTGCTGGGTGCTTGCACGCCCTGCCAGGCCTGCAGGCGCAGAAGCCAACAGGGCTCTCTGCTGGGGCTTCCTCCCACTGCCAGTTCTTGCCCTGGAAGGCGAGGGAAACCAGCAGTGCACTGTTGCCGAGAAGCTGTCGGCCGAGGCAAGCACGCTTCTGTTCCATCTCTGAAGGAACCATCATGGGGCAGTGGGACCTCACCCCCCTGTGAAACCCACTGGCACCCAGCCCATGGACAAAGAGCTGAGGCCTGCTCAGTGCAGCCATACGTCGGGGCCGCCTATCACTGTGGCTGCTCCCCTCCCGCTCCAACTCAGCTCGCAGAGGCAATAAAGGAAAACCCTCCCTTTGTGGGGAGCGCTCGATTCTCTGGCTCTTTCCTCCCTTCCCCGCCTGACGTTCCCGGCTCAGAGCTCCCCTGGAGAAGCAAGGCTTGCTCTCAGGATTCCAGACCCCAAAGGGCAGCGAGGGCCTCCTCTGAGGCCCAGGAGGGCAGGGTGCCCAGGGAGCCACTGCTGCCACGGCCACTGCCACACAGCTGGGGCCACTCCTGCCTTCCATCAGGAGCCAGGCCTTCCCGTCAGCCTGTCCTCAGGTTCCAGTGCTCAAGCCCCGCAGCTCTGTCTTCCCCGGGCCTCACTGGTACCTGCTGCCCCAGGGCAGAGCGTGAGCCCAATGGGCACCTGCGCCCAGGTGTGTGGGACCCCCAGGTGCTGGGCAGCAGGAGTCAGGAGGTGGTAAGCCAGGTAAGGGCCTGACCACCCGAGTCACGCGTGTCCCCCACTCACCAGCCATGCATACACAGGCAAGAGACTTCCCATCTCTGGGCCTCAGTTTCCTCATCTGTAAAATGGGGGCAATCATCCCTACCACTGTTTGAGGGTCACAGACGGAGAGCCTGCCCGAGGGTGTGTGGCGGTAACTGGGCACCACCACGACCCAGTTTGGAGGTGGACATCCTGGAGCACTCAAAGGAGGCTGGATGGAACAACATCTCTGCCTGGTTCCCACAGGGGCCTCAGGCTTTGCTGGAAGGCCCAGGAGGCCATCGGCCCACGCCTGGAGGGACTGGGCCACACAGGAGCCCCCGAGTCCCACCGGCAGGCTGCTCCCATCCAGCACCTTAACACTCCTGCCAGCTGCTTACCAACGAGCCCAGGCAGACCTGGCCCAGCCCACCCTTGCCAGAGCATCACTGCTCAGGCCGTGCACATCCTGTCACAAGTGGACCTGGACAAAGCCTGGACTGCTGCAGCCTCTTCAAGCCCAAGAGGAAACCAGGCTGTCAAAATCTGGGGGTGGGGGGCTGAAATGGGGAGGAGGTCACCACAAAGGAGGAAAGTGAGGGTCAGAGAGGCCCCACAGCAAGAAAGAGGCTGAGCTGGATCTGACCCTGCTTTCTGCAGGGATAGGCGGCCTTCTACCAGAAGGTACCCAGAGACCTTCCCCCCAGAGACAGAAAGAAGACCACTTAACTCTCACCCGCAAAATGAAAACACAGATGGACTGGGGTAAGGGGCAGGCAGCTGCAGGCTTCCCACAGGAAAGTGCGGCAGACAGGACTACCAGAATGGGCTCCCAGAAACGATCCTTTGGGAGACTAACTGGCCATTTGTGACGTAGAAAAAAACTGAAAGAATGACCTGGCGTGAAAGGAACAGGTGAGAAGAGAAATCAGCGCTCCAGAGTTGGGAAGAAAGACGGCAACGCTGGCACTCAAAGACAAGTCAGAAAGTCAGCGGTACAAGGGAGTGGTCCTGGTCTGTTTGTGCCAACGGTGAGGAACCTGGAAGTCAGGGGGCTCTCTGCAGAACACCACACACGATGCCGATAAGTAAGCAAATGCAGTCCAGAAACTGCGCTTTAAGAGGAGAAAACCGACCACAGAAGCTGGTGTCCTGCCTCCGAGAAGCCTCCCACACACAGGCCCTTCCTGCCAACTCCCGGCCTCCACCAGGGGTAGGGGCAAGGTCCAACCTGACACTAAGTACCCGTGGGCATCTGTTTTCCCTCCTCAACGGTGGGTTCCTGAGAGCCAGGCTCGCACCTTACACGGCTCTGAACCCTCCGTGCCTGGCACAGGTGTGGAGCCAGACAATGAATGCTCGCGCCTGGCCCGCTGCAAACAGTCGGCTGCAGGTGCCGGTGGTCTAAGCAAATTTCTGGGGGAAACCTGAGAAAATTCTACCTTAATTTCTTTTTCTAGCAAAATGGGAAAACAAACCTGTTATTTAATCCTAGCGGGAGCGCTCCTCTTGTGAAGTAAGAAGGTTCTGAGATAAGAATCGCTGTTTTACTGGCAAAGCAAGAGAGGACGTTTGAAACTGAGCCCAAATGAGGAAATCTGGGTCTGACAGAAAGGGAGAGCCAGCCCTGAAGGGCAGAGGTCACCAGTGGGAGCCTGAATTTCCCTCGGGAAGAATGACACCACACTTACACCTCCCTCCAAGCCTTTCCTTGTGATGCCCCTGTTTCCCCGACTCTCCACGTCTCAGCTCAAATCCCACACGCCAGACAAGAAGCGCTGCTTGACGCCTCGCAGCTCTCACGAAACTACCATGACACTGACAGTCACCACTATGATGGATGGGCAGTCCACTAAAGCAGGGCGTTCCTGGGAAGCCTATCCCCCCCCCCGTCGCAGTCAAGTGCGTTTGACGTACTCCCCCCTCCAGCCGCGTCTGACCCTCGGCTGAACACACAGTGGGGGCTCCTAAGTAAGACCCTTCTGACTCCACTATGAGAGACAGTCGTGGCCAGGACCAGAGGCGCGGCCGGGGGAAGCGGCGAGGAAATAAACAGGGGCGGCGACAGCACTGGGGGTCGGGGGGCGGAGAGAATGGTGCCCCCAGGAGCTGGGGCGCAAATGACAGGAGTCCCGGGCCTGCCCGCCAGTGTCAGCGCGCTCGGCCTGCGTTCAACGCTCCACCCTCGCGACAGCTCTAGGAGGACATGTCCTCCCGTTGTTTACATTCTACGCCTGCAGAAACGGAGGCTCACAGAGGCCCTGCGACTCGCACCGGGCCCCCCCGGGGGGGGGGGTCCCGGTCCCAGCTGCAGGGACGTCGCCCGCGAGCGTGCGGGGCGGCGCTGGGCCGGGAACGGGGGGCTGGGGAGCCCCGGCGGGGG